ACACACACAACAATACACACACACACCACACACACACAACACACAACCCCACACACACACACACACTTCAGACCTCTCTTCCACAGGAGTTAAACCTCTCCACAGGTGGTAAACTTCTCCTTACAGATGGTAAACCTCTCATTCCAGGTTGCAAACTTCTCCTTCCAGGTAGTAAACCTCCCCTTCCAGGTGGCAAACCTCTCCTTCCAGGTTGCAAACTTCTCCTTCCAGGTGGTAAACCTCCCCTTCCAGGTAGTAAACCTCCCCTTCCAGGTGGCAAACCTCTCCTTCCAGGTTGCAAACCTCTCCTTTCAGGTGGCAAACCTCCCCTTACAGATGGTAAACCTCTCCTTCCAGGTGGTAAACCTCTCCTTCGAGGTGGCAAACCTCTCCTTCCAGGTGGCAAACCCCTCCTTCCAGGCAATAAACCTCTCCTTCCAAGTGGTAAACCTCTTCTTATAGGTGGCAAACCTCTCCTTCCAGATGCAAACCTCTCCTTCCAGGTAGCAAACCCCTCTTTGAAGGAGGTAAATCTCTCCTTCCAGGTGGTAAACCTCTCCTTACAGACGGTAAACCTCTCCTTCCAGTGGTAAACATCTCCTTCCATGTGGTAAACCTCTCCTTCCAGGTGGTAAACCTCCCGTTACAGATGTTAAACTTCTTCCAGGTGGTAAACCTCTCTTTCAATGTGGCAAAACCCTCCTTCCAGGTGGCCCAAACCTCTCCTTCCAGGTGGCAAATCCCTTCTTTCAGGCGGCAAACCTCTCATTCCAGGTGGTAAACCCCTCCTTAAAGATAGTAAATCTCTGCTTTCAGGTGGTAAACTCACAAGTCAGGAAGTACGCTAAAAGATACCAGTCTTGGGTGGGTGTGGCTGCCGACACACTCCTGTACCTGGTACCTGGGATGGTGGTCTTCCTGCTGGTACCTTCAGCAGTCTTCGCCTACGTGGAGGAAGACTGGGACTACCTCGACGCCTTGTACTTCTCCTTCATCACACTCACCACCATCGGCTTCGGTGACCAAGTGGCAGGTGAGACAGGCCTCCTTCAGGAGGGTGATAGGTGAGGCAGGCCTCCTTCAGGAGGGTGGATAGGTGAGGCAGGCCTCCTTCAGGAGGGTGATAGGTGAGGCAGGCCTCCTTCAGGAGGGTGATAGGTGAGACAGGCCTCCTTCAGGAGGGTGGTAGGTGAGGCAGGCCTCCTTCAGGAGGGTGGTAGGTGAGGCAGGCCTCCTTCAGGAGGGTGATAGGTGAGACAGGCCTCCTTCAGGAGGGTGATAGGTGAGGCAGGCCTCCTTCAGGAGGGTGATAGGTGAGGCAGGCCTCCTTCAGGAGGGTGATAGGTGAGGCAGGCCTCCTTCAGGAGGGTGATAGGTGAGACAGGCCTCCTTCAGGAGGGTGGTAGGTGAGGCAGGCCTCCTTCAGGAGGGTGGTAGGTGAGGCAGGCCTCCTTCAGGAGGGTGGTAGGTGAGACAGGCCTCCTTCAGGAGGGTGGCAGGTGAGGCAGGCCTCCTTCAGGAGGGTGATAGGTGAGACAGGCCTCCTTCAGGAGGGTGGTAGGTGAGGCAGGCCTCCTTCAGGAGGGTGTAGGGGAGGCAGGCCTCCTTCAGGAGGGTGGTAGGTGAGACAGGCCTCCTTCAGGAGGGTGGTAGGTGAGGCAGGCCTCCTTCAGGAGGGTGATAGGTGAGACAGGCCTCCTTCAGGAGGGTGGCAGGTGAGGCAGGCCTCCTTCAGGAGGGTGATAGGTGAGCAGGCCTCCTTCAGGAGGGTGATAGGTGAGGCAGGCCTCCCTTTAGGGGGGTGATAGGTGAGACAGGCCTCCTTCAGGAGGGTGGTAGGTGAGGCAGGCCTCCTTCAGGAGGGTGGTAGGTGAGGCAGGCCTCCTCAGGAGGGTGATAGGTGAAGACAGGCCTCCTTCAGGAGGTGGTAGGTGAGGCAGGCCTCCTTCAGGAGGGTGGTAGGTGAGGCAGGCCTCCTTCAGGAGGGTGGTAGGTGAGGCAGGCCTCCTTCAGGAGGGTGATAGGTGAGGCAGGCCTCCTTCAGGAGGGTGGTAGGTGAGACAGGCCTCCTTCAGGAGGGTGGTAGGTGAGGCAGGCCTCCTTCAGGAGGGTGGTAGGTGAGGCAGGCCTCCTTCAGGAGGGTGGTAGGTGAGGCAGGCCTACTTCAGGAGGGTGGTAGGTGAGGCAGGCCTCCTTCAGGAGGGTGGTAGGTGAGACAGGCCTCCTTCAGGAGGGTGGTAGGTGAGGCAGGCTCCTTCAGGAGGGTGGTAGGTGAGGCAGGCCTCCTTCAGGAGGGTGGTAGGTGAGGCAGGCCTACTTCAGGAGGGTGGTAGGTGAGGCAGGCCTCCTTCAGGAGGGTGGTAGGTGAGGCAGGCCTCCTTCAGGAGGGTGATAGGTGAGGCAGGCCTCCTTCAGGAGGGTGGTAGGTGAGGCAGGCCTCCTTCAGGAGGGTGGTAGGTGAGGCAGGCCTCCTTCAGGAGGGTGGTAGGTGAGGCAGGCCTACTTCAGGAGAGTGTTAGGTGAGGCAGGCCTCCTTCAGGAGGGTGATAGGAGGCGCCTCTTCAGGAGGTGGTAGGTGAGGCAGCCTCCTTCAGAGGGTGGTAGGTGAGGCAGCTCTCCTTCAGAGGGTGGTAGGTGAGGCAGGTCTCCTTCAGGAGGGTGGTAGGTGAGGCAGGCCTCCTTCAGGAGGGTGGTAGGTGAGGCAGGCCTCCTTCAGGAGGGTGGAGGTGAGCAGGCCTCCAGGAGGGTGGTAGGTGAGGCAGGCATCCTTCAGATGGGTGGTAAGGTGAGGCAGGCCTCCTTCAGGAGGGTGGAGGTGAGACAGGCCTCCTTCAGGAGGGTGGTAGGTGAGGCAGCCTTCCTTCAGGAGGGTGGAGGTGAGCAGGCCTACTTCAGGAGGTGGGTGGGCAGCTCTCAAGAGGTGATGAGCAGGCCTCCTTCAGTAGGGTGGTGGGTGAGGCAGACCTCCTTCAGGAGGGTGGTAGGTGAGGCAGGCTCCTTCAGGAGGGTGGTAGTGAGGCAGGCCTCCTTCAGGAGGGTGGTAGGTGAGGCAGGCCTCCTTCAGGAGGGTGGTAGGTGAGCGCAGGCCTCCTTCAAGGGGTGGTAGGTGAGGCAGGCCTCCTTCAGGAGGTGGAGGTGAGACAGGCCTCCTTCAGGAGGGTGGTAGGTGAGGCAGCCTCCTTCAGAGGGTGGCAGGTGAGCAGCCTCCTTCAGGAGGGTGGTAGGTGAGCAGTCCTCCTTCAGGAGGGTGGAGGTGAGACAGGCCTTCTTCAGGAGGGTGGTAGGTGAGGCAGGCCTCCTTCAGGAGGGTGGGAGGTGAGACAGGCCTCCTTCAGGAGGGTGGTAGGTGAGGCAGGCCTCCTTCAGGAGGGTGGTAGGTGAGGCAGGCTCCTTCAGGAGGGTGGTAGGTGAGGCAGGCCTACTTCAGGAGGGTGGTAGGTGAGACAGGCCTCCTTCAGGAGGGTGGTAGGTGAGTCACGCCTCCTTCAGGAGGGTGGTGGGTGAGGCAGGCCTACATCAAGAAGGTGGTAGGTGAGGCAGGCCTAATTCAGGAGGGTGTTAGGTGAGCCAGATCTCCAGAAGGAAGGTGGTAGGTGAGTCAGGCATCCTTCAGAAGGATGGTAGGTGAGGCAGGCCTGCTTCAGAAGGGTGGGAGGTGAGACAGGCCTCCTTCAGGAGGGTGGTAGGTGAGGCAGGTCTCCTTGAGGAGGGTGGTAGGTGAGGCAGGCCTACTTCAGGAGAGTGGTAGGTGAGGCAGGCCTCCTTCATTAGGGTGGTAGGTGAGGCAAGCCTACTTCAAGAGGGTGGTAGGTGAGGCAAGCCTCCTTCAGGAGGGTGGTAGGTGAGGCAGGCCTACATCAGGAGGGTGGTAGGTGAGGCAGGCCTACTTCAGGAGGGTGATAGGTGAGCTAGGTCTCCTTCAGGAGGATGGTAGGTGAGGCAAGCCTATTTCAGATGGGTGGGAGGTGAGGCAGGCCTACATCAGGAGGGTGGTAGGTGAGGCAGGCCTCCTTGAGGAGGGTGGTAGGTGAGGCAGGCCTACTTCAAGAGGGTGGTAGGTGAGGCAGGCCTCCTTCATTAGGGTGGTAGGTGAGGCAGGCCTCCTTCATTAGGGTGGTAGGTGAGGCAAGCCTACTTCAGGAGGGTGGTAGGTGAGGCAGGCCTCCTTCAGGAGGGTGGTAGGTGAGGCAGGCCTACTTCAAGAAGGTGGTAGGTGAGGCAGGCCTCCTTCATGAGGGTGGTAGGTGAGGCAGGCCTCTTCAGGAGGGTGGTAGGTGAGGCAGCTACTTCAGTGAGGTTGGTAGGTGAGGCAAGTCCTACTTCAGGAGGGTGGTAGGTGAGCAGGCCTCCTTCAGGAGGGTGGTAGGTGAGGCAGGCCTCCTTCAGGAGGGTGGTAGTGAGGCAGGCCTAACTTCAGGAGGGTGTAGGTGAGGCAGGTCCCTCAGGAGGGTGGTAGGTGAGCAGGCCTCCTTCAGGAGGTGGTAGGTGAGACAGGCCTCCTTCAGGGGTGGTAGATGAGGCAGGCCTCCTTCAGGAGGGTGGTAGGTGAGCAGGTCTCCTTCAGGAGGTGGTAGGTGAGGCAGGCCTCCTTCAGGAGGGTGGTGAGGTGAGGCAGGCCTTCTTCAGGAGGTGGTAGGTGAGGCAGGCCTCTTCAGGAGGTGGTAGGTGAGGCAGGCCTACTTCAAGGAGGGTGGTAGGTGAGGCAGCCTCCTTCAGAGGGGGGTCAGGTGAGGCAGGCCTACTTCAGGAGGGTGTAGGTGAGGCAGGCCTACTTCATGCGGTGGTAGAGTGAGCAGTCTCTCAGGAGGTGTAGGTGAGGCAGGCCTACTTCATCGAGGGTGGAGGTGAGAGGCCTACTAGGAGGGTGGTAGGTTGAGCAGGCCTCCTTCAGAGGGTGGTAGGTGAGGACAGGCCTCCTTCAGGAGGTGGTAGGTGAGGCAGGCTCCTTCAGGAGGTGTAGGTGAGCAGGCCTCTCATCAATGGAGGTGAGGCAGCTACATCAGGAGGGTGTTGGATGAGCAAGCCTACTTCAGAGGTGGTAGGTGAGGCAGGCCTCCTTCAGGAGGGTGTAGTGAGCAGTTCCTTCAGGATGGGTGTAGGTGAGCAGTTCTACATCAGAGGGTGTAGGTGAGGCAGGCCTATCAGGAGTGGTAGTGAGCAGGTCTTCAGGGATGGGTGTAGATGAGATAGGCTCTGTCAGAGGGTGTAGTGAGTAGGCTACTTATAGGTGGTAGTGAGAGGTCTCTTCAGGAGGAGTGGTTGACAGTCATATCAGGAGGGTTAGTATAGTGGCAGGTTCTTCAGAGGTGTTGGTGAGAGGCAAGGCCTTCATTCAGGAGTATGTAGGTGAGGCAGGCATATTTCAGGAGGTGTAAGTGATGAGACAGGCCTTTCAAAGGTGGAGGTGAGGCATAACCTCCTTCAGGTGGGTGGTATGATAGCGATCTTCTTCTAGGAGGGTGTCAGTGAGAGCCTACTTCAGGAGGTGTGGTGAGTGACTAGGCTCTTCAGGATGGTGGTAGGTGCGACAGGCCTCTCCAGATGGTGGTAGGTTGAGAGCAGGCCTCCTCAGGAGTGTAGGTGAACAGGCTCCTTCAGGTGGTGGTAGGTGAGACAGGCCTCCCAGGGGGTGGCACTATTCAAGGTGCTTTAGGACTAATTCATAGACAGTCTCTTCAGTGAAGGTGGTCAAGACAGGTGTGGTAGTGACACTATTCAACATGTCTGTCACAGGCACTAGTTCAATTTGCATGTCTTCAGTGTATATATTCAACATTTCCATGCATTAATATACATGTCTTCTAGTATAATTATAATATGATATTTCCATCACTATTCAATGTATATAGTGCACTATTCAAATTATATATGTACTATATATATAATGTCTTCCATGATTATTAACATGTTTCATAGTATAATTAATGTCTTTAATGCTTGTAAATGTTTCGTGCACTATCAGCAGTGTTTCAGTGCACTCTTCACTTTTCAGTGGCTTTAACATGTCTTCCAGTGCACTAGTTCAACATGTCT